AAAAAAAAAAAAGAAAAGAAAAATACTACTTCATGGATTGGAATACAAAACAGTGAAGATGGCAATTCTTCCTGCATTGATCTCTAGATTTAATCTAATTTCTATCAAATTCCCAACAAGATTTTTAAAGGCAAGCTTATTTTAAAAGTTATAGGGAAAGGCATAGGCCTATCTAAAACAATCTTGTAGAAGAATAAAGTAGGAGAAATTACTCTCCCCAATATAAGTATTTGTTATACACTACAGTACTCAAGACAGTAGAGCACAGACACACACATCAATGGAACAGAATAGAGAATCTAGATACAGGCCCACAAAAATATGCTTGACTAGTTTTTTTTTTTACAAAATACAAAAGTAATTCAACAGAGGGAGAATAGTCCTTCCAATAAATGTGCTGAAGTAAATAGATAGGCAAATAAAAGGAACCTCAAACTATACTTCCTACCTTATACAGAATTAACTCAAAATAGCTCATATCTATAAACATAAAATGTAAAACTATAGAAGGAAATAAAAAATAAGAAATCTTGGGCAGTGCCTATGGCTCAAAGGAGTAGGGTGCTGGCCCCATATGTCAGAGGTGGTGGGTTCAAACCCAGCCCCCAGCCAAAAACTGCAAAAGAAAGAAAATCTTTGGGTCCAAGGGCTAAGCAAAGAATTGTTAGACTTAACACCAAAAGCACAATCCATAAGAAGGAAAATTTGATAACTTACACTTCATCAAAATTTAAAACTTTTACTCTACAAAAGATTCTGTGAAGAGGATAAAAAAAAACAGGCTATGTACTAAGAGAAAATATATGCAAACCAAATATCTGACAAAAGACTAGTATCTGTTCTAGGATCTAGAAAGAACTCTCAAAACTCAACAGTTAAAAATAATTGGGCAAGGTGGCTCACACTTATAATGCCAGCACTCTGGCAGGCCAAAGTGAGACGACCTCTGGAGCTCAATCTTAAGCAAAAGTGAGATTCTATCTCTGCTAAAAACAGAAACATTAGCAGGTCATTGTGCAGACACCTTCAGCCACTTAGGAAGCTGAGTCAGGAGGATCACTTGAATCCAGGAGTTTGAGGTTGCTGTGAGCTGGGCTATCGCCACTGCCACTTTAGCCTGGGGCAACAGAGTAAAACTCTGCTTCAAAAAAAATTTTTTTTTCAATTAGGAAAAAGAACATGAGCAGATAATTTCACTACAGAGGACATTCAAATGGCAAAGAAGCACAAGAAAAGATGTTCAACGTCATTAGTCCTTAGGGAACTGCAAACTAATACCACAATGAGATATCACTGTATACCTACCAAAATTGCTTAAAAAAAAAAGAAAAAGTGAGTGACAACACCAAATGTTGGCAAGGATGAAGGGAAACTGGATGGACTGCTGGTAGGAATGTAAAATGGGACAACCGCTCTGAGAAAACACTTGGCAGTTTCTTATAGAACTGAACATACAACTCTCATACCAATAAGCAATTGTACTCCTGGAGATTTGTCCCAGACAAATGGAAACTTGCGTTCACCCCAAAACTTGTACAATGTTCATGTCAGCTTTATCTATACTATTCAAAAAGTGAGAACAACCTAATGTGCTCTAACAGGTGGCTGGTGAAATAAATGGTGCTACATCTGTGCTATGGAATACTCCTCAGCAATCAAAGGGAACAAAGCACCACCAATACAGGCAACAACTTGGATGACTGCAGAGCTTTATGCTGGGTGAGGAGAGTCGATCCTAAACGTGTACACTTTGGATGATTCCACTCACAGAACATTTTGAAATGCAAAATTGTAAGAATAGAGAATAGATTACAGGTTGCCAGGGAGGAATGGAGAGAATGAGAGAGGTGGATGTAACTGTGAAATGCTAACACAAGAGATCCTTGTGGTTATGGAAATGTTCAGTGTCCTAACCAAATCCATCTCAAAGTCCTGCTCATGATACTGTACTATAGTTTAGCAAGATGTTACAGTTGGGGGAACCCAGGGAAAAAGGAATGTAGTATCTCTCTGCATTACAAGTGCAAGTGAACTATCTCAGAATCTACACTTATCTGAGTAAAATATTTGACAGAAATAAGATTTTTAAGGCTTACCTTAAACAAGGCATTTATGCTATAATCTCTCTCTTGTTAGTACTATTAGTCCCTAATAAATTGAGGAACTGAGGGCTGGGCATGGTGGCTCACACCTGTAATCCTACCACTCTGGGAG